AAGTTCAACACAATACGTGTGTTTTCTGTATTTGATGTATATTGTATTATTAAGTTCAACACAATACGTGTGTTTTCTGTATTTGATGTATATTGTATTATTAAGTTCAAAACATTACGTGTGTTTTCTGTTTTTGATTTATATTGTATTATTAAGTTAAACACAATACGTATGTATTCTGTTTTTGATGTATATTGTATTATTAAGTTCAACACAATACGTGTGTTTTCTGTTTTTGACTGTCAAGGCTGAAAGGGGTAGTATATTCGATGATGGAGATTTTAACTCGCGACCCTGAGATTGCGAGTCGAGCGCCTTAACCACCAGACCATGCCAGGTCACAGTCGAGTCAACCACCAGACCATGCGATGGGGTCAAATGGTTAAATAAGTCCATTATATTAGGGGTTTGGGTCAATTATTTAGCAATATTACGACCAATTTAATTTTGATTTAGTACAAATATACTCTTTTACAGATCCCAAACAGATATATATATATATAATCTTCAGAGAGGAAAGCCCAACTTGGGGGTTTCGTGAGCTATTCATGTGTATATCAACCAGCTTACATGTGTATATCAACCAACTTACGTGTGTATATCAACCAACTTACGTGTGTATATCAACCAACTTACGTGTGTATATCAACCAACTTACGTGTGTATATCAACCAGCTTACATGTGTATGTCAACCAGCTTACTGGTGTATATCAACCAACTTACATGTGTATGTCAACCAACTTACGTGTGTATGTCCATAAAAACCAAAATAATAATACACATAAAACTTTCCCTCTGCCCCCCCCCAGTGGCACAGCTATATTTCTTCGGACTTACAACGCTAGAAACCGAATTTCGATACCCGTGGTGGGCAGAGCACAGACAGCCAGCCCACTGTGTAACTTTGTGCTTAACTACAAACAAACCTCTCTCGACCAGGATAAATGATTTGATTCTACAAATTTCGCTAACATAATTTAGCTTTCAATACAGGAGAATTTGTTCTCGTTTTGTTGCAAACTGTACAAGAAAAAATAAATAAACTATTTTTTCTCCTTCCTGAAAAATGTTATTTCTATCAACTCGTCAAGTTTTGTCTTATATAACTGTGCGGTTTTATTTAAATTTCTTGAAACCATACTAAAATATACAGAACACTTATTATTGAACTTTCTGCTCATAAATCTGACAATGTTAATTTAATTGACATAGTAATGTACATAATTTTGACTGCTCGAAAGATACAATGAATATAGTTGATCTTCATCATAAATATATAGCGATAAATTAATTTCATTGTAAAATTAATCTGGTAGATGGCAGCACAATAAATACGCAATAGGTAATTATTGTCAAAATATTTCTTTGTTCTTTCACTGAAGAGACATTTACAAAATATATTTTCGCTATATAGTTTCCTCATGAGGAAAATAAAGTTATTTTCAGACATTATACAATGTATTCTAAAATGAAACTACTAATTTGTGCGTATACAAATTTCCATATAAATGTTTTTTTCTTAATGGTACTTTTCCCATTTCTCATAGTAGACACGTAATCAATAAATTTGTACTCACGTCCTGTTATCAGGGCAGCGACATCTGGCGGAGTGTCTTCAGCTAAGATGCGCTGATGCTTATTAATTACCAGGGGAGTTTGTCGGTTCGCTTTTGCTTTTCCATTACCAAGAATTCGTTCAAGGTCCAGTCATGACTTCTGTGTCGTTTGTCTGTCAAGGAGTAAATTACGGGCATTAACAGTCCAAAAAATCAGACAGTCCTCTGCCTAATGATAGGCCTAAATTCGGCAGGCCCATTTTCTTATCAACTCTAAATGCATACAAGGGAAAGGCTATACGCTGGTCAAAGATAATGACTCTCACAATCGCGAAGTGAGGCGGCGCTGTATACGCGCGCTGTTACTGACGTCATTCGTTCAGACGAAGCGGCAGACGACTTCCGGTTGGGTGCGAATCTCGCAGTGGAGCTGCTGTTTCATGTCTCCCTCTAAGGCGGGACTTGCTAATCCCGCCCCCTTCTGGCGTGAGCACTTGCAGCTTTTGTGTAAACTTTCGTACATGTTCAAAAGTTATGTTTTAAAAATTAAAGGAAACAAAACCAAGAGAAATATGGTGAATTATAATATGGATGAAGCATAGGAAATTATGTAAAAATACAAAAACAAATGTTCATGTAATTATTTTCAAAAGTAGATTCGGTTACTAGAGGTGTCGATAAACTCGTTATCCAGCGCCTAAGGTGACGATTGGTAGCTTGGACTGCATCTCATTATTCAGTTTCCAGGGTGAGCGAACGATCCACTGACTGACGGTCGCAATTCAACACCATCCTAAGAAGCAACGTCACGCTTCTGGCGCCAAAATACCTCGTGCCTGCACATCAAGCAGCAACGTGAGATTAGCTAATCACTTTAGATGGTTCTCCCGTCATTTTCACGCTGAGTTTCGGCGTCCACGACAAACGGTCGAAGACTTTGCCCTAAATGGAAGACACATAGAGAATACAGTATCTTTAAGAGAAAGGTATTCTTCGATCGTAATGGATCGTGAAATATTTGAACTAGTGGATATTTCACGTCTCTCTTGCACGATTAGTTTTAGTACGTAAAGAGGAAGAAGTGACCCGGACAGATATTTTCTTTATGTAAACCTACTTCATCAATCATTATAACTTAGTAAAGAAAAAAAAAAACAAAGTCATTAATATGAGACAATGTGTTTGTTATGCTTTCTCGAGCATAGCAAAAGAGTGCTTAACTTATAGGACAGGCTTCCTGATTGGTCGATGTTTTTGAAATAACCAATCATTACTGCACTTGGTGTCATCAAGCTTCGCAAGAGCATCGGACTGTGTAGTCGGGCGCCCGGGTTTCACACTCCCGAAACCGAACGTCTCAGCTGAAATCGAGTCCTCGGTTTTGTGTGTGCAATATCGCGCCACGAGTGTTCGTGTTGGCAGCGCGGCCCCGGGCTTCGCGCCTGCTTGCCGCGTGCGTCACTGGCTCACCCTTGGCACTCGGCCTGTACGTCGTGCTGCTCCCCTTCCGTCAGCCACGTCTCCATGCGCTTCGACCCCTCAGAGCTGGCCCAGGGGATGGCGTACCACCCGTTCCTGCTGCCCCCGAACCGCCAGCCGCCAGACTTTAGCGTGAGTACGCTACTGACTCAACCAAACTACTTTCCGCTACCTCTACCACATCCGTACCCGGCAGCTCCCTTTCCCAAGTTACCCGCTCCGCTCACTGGTGGCTCGCCGTACATAACGGCCGACGACGTGCTTGGCCAAAGTGGACATTTTCGACCATTAAGAACCTTGGAGCCCGAAGAAGACGGAGTACAGGATGACCCAAAAGTAAATTTGGAATGCAAAGAACTTTGGGAACAGTTTCATGGACTTGGGACTGAGATGGTCATAACAAAAACTGGCAGGTGAGTTACATTCCTAATACTCCTAACACTTGGATAATTGTAATTATTAACAATATCATTTCTGTCGTCTTTAATATTTTAATTGTTGAGAAATAATATAGAAATAAGAGCTGAATGGAAGTCAATATATACTGTACTGTAAAAGCGACTCGTCGTGAGAGACAAATAATACATACAAGTAGTTAATTATTCATAAAACAGAAAATCTAAGAAAACTGAGACTCAGAACCATCGTCTTCCAGTGTTGTTCTAAGCTATCAATTAATATGAGAACTTAAGCACAGTTGTTTCGTGAGCGTACTGTTTGTTACGTATCGATGAACGAACGAGCGAAGCACCAACGGTACGGTTCGCATAACCTTTGCTCAACAGACTGAAATCTGCCATTTTTGTCAATTTCATTCTTCGTGTATCTTGGTAGTGAAAACGTTGCGGACTTTTCAGTTACACAACACGTGTTTTGTGCACGTTTCTATGCAGCGACATTTACACTTCAACAGACTCTCCCGATGTCTCATTTCTAAACCAGTTTTATTCTTCGAGTTTATATAGGTCAAGGCGTGTTTACACTATCAGTAATAATTAACTGTAGTTTGTTTATAAAGAAACCTTGTTAATGAGTCGCTGACCTAATCACTGAATGTGAGTGTGATGAGGCATCATAGTGAATCTTCAGTTGTTGATATCATTGCAACATAATTCTTGTAAACTCTAACTTCGCACACTCAAAACCATTTAATTACATAAATGCTTCTGTCCTGTGCGGGCAATCTTGTAAACTCTCGCTATACGTTCTCAAAGTCTGTTAATTGCATAAATTCGGGAGTCCTGGGCAATCTTGCAAAAATAAACTTGGCTTAGTCGCATCCTGTTAATTACACAAAAGCTGAAAACCTGGCCAGTTTGGCAAACCAGGCTAAACATTTGTGCCGCCCAAAGCCCGTCGTTAGTCACATAAAAATTAGAGTCCACATTCATGGTAGCTCTGTCTTCGCAGTTAAACCAAACAGAATATGGAGATCTTTACGAACTTGTAAACTCACCCTTGCCACTGCTTAACATAGAGTGTCTTCTTATTAAGGATAACTTACTCAAAGATTTGTTGTTACTTTTTAAACCTTACAATATTTGCACAAACTGTAAATCAGTTAACATAAATAGATTCATTTATCTGGTAGAAATAGGAATTTTAGAAAATCAGGAGAAATATGTAATGTTTATGTTGTTTCACATAGACAAAAGAAATCGACAAATAGAAGCAAAGAAAACTTAGGAAATGAGATACTTCAGTCAGCAGCC